AATTCTATGATGTTTTGAGCATATGATTACTTGTAAAGAATCTCCATCTCATATTAAATAAAAAAATATATATGATAATAAATTTGCTTAAGATTGGAAAGAAATTAGGATTAAATAAAATTTTGAATACCTCTAATTGTATTATTAAAAAATATTTAAAATTTGTGATTTAATTTAGTTATTTTGTAAAGTATTTTTAAAAAATTAATATCCAATAATTGTAAAATTTAAATATTAATATTTAAATATTTTTAAAATATTTTTTATTTTGAGACTACTATTTTAAAAAATATTTAATCAGATAAATTATGCTGCTAATCCATCCCATATCATAGGTTTTATTAAACATTTACAAAAATTGTATAACAGTAGTAACAAAAATTTTTTTTCCCCAAAGCAAAGTGGGAAACTGTTGATTTTGGAGACAGGAAAGGCATTAGGCTGATGCCATTAGAATCAAACGAGAGAAAAAGAGAGAAGAAAGCAGTGACGTCAAAGGGGTCAACAACTGAGCCAAGTCAGCCCACGAGACACGAGGTCTGATCCCACACGTGTGGCCACTGACAGAAATACATTTCAAAGTTCTAAAAATTTTTAATTAAATTTTTTGTACACTTTCCAATGTCTGATACTTCACACGAATGAGATGTGTCAGAATTGCACGTGTGCTTCCATTTAATGTCTTTTGACAATGACTGAATAGAAAGAGAAAGAGAACCCAACCCTCACATGCAAATTTTTCTTACATTAATTTTTGGGGAATAATTTAGCCTTTTTTGTCCTCTGGCTAAATGGTTGATTCTTTGGGTATAGCAAAGCTAAAGCTTATAGCTTATAGCTTAGCTCCTCCATCTTTGGGTGCATTGAGAGCAACTACATAACAACTAGTTTCTTGTTTTGGTTTGTGATAAACTCCCAAGAAAGATTTTTTTTTTTTAATTGAAAAATCTTGTCAATTGTTGTCTTGAAAAAAATTGAAAATGAAAACCACTATTTCCATTTTTTTTTTAATTTTTATGAATGAAATTTTAGACATATAAATCGTTTTAATTATTAAGTTAGAGTGTTGATGTGCAATTTTTTCATTTATCTTATCAAAAGTTTACAGTTTTTGTAATGTTGACAAAAAATCTTGGGTACTCTTATATTGAAATACAAAGACAAAACAATTTTGAATTAAAATTTAATAATTATTTAAATTTTTATTTTTTTCTTGTAATTAATTATATTTTTAAATATTTATTTTCATTAATTAAGTTTTTATTAAAAAATAATTAATGATTTAATTGAGTGAAAATAAATTTATACAGATTTAATTAAGAAAAAATAAATATTTAAATATTTAATTGATTTAAAATAAAAAATTTAAAGTTTGATTAATCATAATAAAATATAAAAAATTTAAATGATTATCAAGTTTTTATTTAAAGGTTTTTTATATTTTTTGCCTAATTTAAATCATTTACTATTGAAATGATGAACTAATGAATTGAACCAATTCTTAATCTTTTTTTATTTTATTTTATTTCAGTGTCTCTCCCTCCAAAATTTCTTTGTTCTTATCTTTGACTGAGTTTATTTATATTTTTTTGTGATAGATTAATTAGTTGAAAATGTTTAAAAGATAGTACAAATAAGGATAAAGACAAATGATACACGACAAATTGAGTGGATATCATTTGATTTTGTGTTTGTTGCTTTCATAATCGTATATATCAATTGTCAAGTGAAATTGAAAGTTATCAAATGTCTTTTGCAGATGCAGGTGATTTTTCGGTTTCTGTAACCATGAATAATAAATGAACAAGCTAAATGAGATTGGATAACTCTGTTTTTCTTTTAATTTCATGTAAAATAGCAAACAATAGACAAGCTCAACTTGCTAGATTCAGTTTCGCTTAAATGGTTATTAAACTATAAACAGGGACATGGTTTCCCAATTAATTTCCACTCTTTATTCGTAATTGAATGAGGGAAAAAGGAAAATATTTATCTTGGCAAAAGAAAGAAAAGGAAAAAATTATTTTACTGATAATTTTCTAATTTTAAATCTGATCATACTGATCTTTTGTATCGAAATGTCTTTTTTTCAAAAGAATCGTAAGAGCAAATCATCAATCCGAAACAAACAATATTATACAATTTAATGGAGTTTATGTTTTATTTTCAGATTAGGGTTTGAGTCAAAAAAATTAACTTTTTATGAAAATGTAAGATAAGATTATTTATATTAGATTCAGTGAGTTTGACTCTTCCCCGGAATTCATGCATAACGAAAGCTTTACGCATTGAATTGGTTTCTTTTTCTTTTTTTAATTTTTGATTTCAGGTGATATGATGCAATTAGATCACTACCAAAAGTTTTGGGGTTGTTTCCATTGGAGATGTGGTTTCAGAAAATTCCTACTACAAACTTTTACCTAAGATTTCCCTTGTTTTCTCCCTAGAAATGCTGGTTGGTGATTGTTTTTTTTTTTTTGAATGATTTGGTCGGCCAAATTCCTTTCTGATCTTTGGGGGTTTGGTTTCTTTGTCTCTAATCCACACTTTTCTCATCCTGTTTATGCCTAATTTTTTCTTCAAACACTGCAGCAATTTCATGACTTTGCTTGACTTTGCCCACCAATCATTCACTAATAAACCAAGTTATTAATGACTTAAGCCAAAATTTCCCATCTTTAATCTTTTTGACAAAGAGAAACAAAAAAAGTAAAAAAAGCAGTATCCAGGGGTTGCTATCGGCTGTTCATCTTTTGATTTATTTGCTTGTTGCTCTTAAAAATGGGGACAAAGCTGCCTAATTATATGCATAGGTTCATTTGAAATCATTCATTGTCTGCTTTCCTTTTTCTTTGTCTTTGATTTTGCCAGAAACTAATATCCTGCCATTCATGTCTTCTCTCCTTCACTTCACAGTGTGTGAATCCAAGTTTTTTTTTTCCATGATTCCCATCCCCAAGTCATAGACTATTATTTTTCCCAGGCTAGTAAGCTGCCTTTGGCTAAAAGGAAAAAAAAAAACGTGTGAAGTAATTGGAGTCGGATTCATTGCACAAAGCAATGATATGAACTACTTTAAAGTAATTTTGAAACCAAGAAAATATAGGGTAATGACTTCCCATTGTATGGTTCATTTGCTTTTATTTTGTCCAACAAAAGAAAATTAAGATGAAATAATTAAGTAATGACAATCTTATTTGATGGTAATCATAATTTTCCTTGTAAAATGATAGCTAGAAAAAGATAATGAGCTTTTTAATTAAATATTAGGGGTATTTTTGGTTCAAAAGATAAATTATTTTTTTATTCATTAAAGATTGTCTTTAGATAATTAAAAGTATTTTTTACTTTTAAATGATATATATAATGTTATATCAATTCGATTACATCATTATTTTATTTTACAGATTTCTCACCCTTCTTTTATTAATAGAATAATCTATGTATTATCTATTTATTTGATTATTTCTTTTATTTTTTTATTTTATTCTCTTTTTGACTTCTTTTATTTTAATCTTTAATTTGAATATCGGAACGTAAATGCAAAACATACCCATTTATCTTTATTCTTAACTAGTTTTTTTTTTTTTATAATTTACCCTCAATTTAAAATTTTGACACAAACATTAAAATAAACTACATATTTTATTATTTTTGAGATAGTTAAAAATTGAATCATAATTATTAAAACTAATATAAGATTATATAATAATAATTATAATTAAGATCGGAGCCCCACCGCACGTGCATGCGTGAATTGGTGCGACAAAAATTCGGACATGGTCGAATAAACAAACAAACCCACATTAGCAAAAACAGGTTTCTTAATTTTGTTTATTCTTTCCTTTCGTTGGAACTGACATTGGAAATGATTAATGTTGGAGATCATGAAAAACAATGATTAAAGCTTGAATTATAGATGTTAAATCATGATTAGAATAAGAAACACAAAAGAAAAAGAAATGGCGGAGTGTAGGAATTGTGGGTTATAGCTTTGTTTTCATGGCTTTTTGCCATTGCTTCTTTGATGACGACGATGATGATAGTGGCACTTTGCTTTCCACTTGGCCTGTCTTTTACGATCACGTGGCTATCAATGCTTACTTTCCGACAACATGTTTTGACATCAACACGTGTGGAATGATGGTTCATCTCGTGAATTTTCACTTTACAGCCCGTGTATTTGATCATAAAGGCTGTTAATGTATAAAAGCTAGACAATACTTTATATGCTCTATAATTATGGCCTGGAAAGTGGTTTACCTTTAGTTTAATTCTGTAAAGTTCAAACTTTACAGTAACTTGTAGCATGCCTGATCAATCATACCTTAAAGCAGTGACTCGAGATCCAACATATATGAAAGTGAAATTTACAATTTTCAAATTAATATATGAGAATCTCTTCCCATGAAATTTCATATGCACCCTTAATCTCATTGTGAAAGCAGGACATCAAAATCCCACTAGCATGTGTCTGGCAGATTGTTGGAATGGAGCCAAAGCCCTTTAGGAATTTGGGTCATTGTAGGGTCAAGATGCTGATAATTATAATCTTGGGTTTCTTTTCCATGATGAAATGGATGCCTTTGAAAAAGCTGGCCCAAATTTGCTAGACCTGAATCTGATCTATTGCCTAACCTCATTGTGAGGAGCTATTCATACTTAGAAACTGATCTGGACCAAGTTGTAGTTACTAGCATATGAATGAAAGTTGTAGTTACATCTTTTCATCTCCATGCAAATCTTTCATAGAAAGTGTTTGGTCTCCGCAGGCTCTAAACAATTGTTTCATTTGAGATCAGTAGATGCAACTATGCATCTCTTGAGAATTAAAATCTATTGAAGTAAGAATGAAACTATAAAAGTGAAAAAAATAAAAACACACCCTACATGTGTTTCTGATTGAATCCACAGAGCAGTAACTGAAGAATTGAGCCCTATTCCTCTTTGGACTTGAATACATTGGTCTGTGTTACTAGTTGGTAATTTGCAGGCAAGGCTGAGGTAGAATGTTCAGATACATATTCACAGAGATAATGAGGTAGTATATATTAGCCGACCGGATGCAGTAAGTAATCTTACAGGACTAATATGGCAATAAAGGAGCTGTGTTTTCTTTCTCCTCAAAAAACTAAGCACACATGACATAACTCAAACATACTATCATACAAAGCCACTAAGCCAGAATTTGTAGCATTGTTCATTTACAGGACTGAATCAGGAACCATGCAAGATTCAGTCATCATCCTCATCTTCTTCTTCTTCATCCTCCTACAATTGCAAAAGGCCAACTGACATCAGGATTTATCAGAGAAATAGATATGCAAAACTTGAACATTTTAATAGCAGAGAATCAATATGGTCAGAGTCAATTATGATTTGCAATGAGGAAATTGAATTTTAATACTGATGCAGTGCAGCAACACATTGAATACACCAATAAACCAACAAAGTGTTGAAAAGTTTTGACACAAGCAATCCTTCACTCAGCTACATCTCTAGACCAGCAAGCATATGAAAACATACCAGAAAGGATCATTAACTAGGGTTTCTGAGCGAAAATTTATAGTTGAGGTGTTAGTTGAGAGTTTGCAGGACTCAAGGCAATCCCAAAGTACAGTAGCTAGGGCATGATTCATCCGGTAAATTTCAAACACAGAATTTTTAGTCAAGCGACTACTGAAATTTGTGGACAGACTTCTATCTTATCATCAGTAACATTTGAACCTCATACTTACCACAATCCCACCACGTTTTTACCATTTCAGCTAATGCCTATCATAATTATAAAGAGATGGAAGTAAATCATAATCAAAATACCATATCCATTGATTAGGATGTAGTTGCAACAGATACAAAACTAAATCTGCAGTATTTTCAGATATGTTGCTCAGAGCAACATATATCTAAATGGATGTTCAATTGCAGCTTATAGGCAAAATACACCAATCAGAAAAGTTTAGCAGATGACCAAATCAGACCACACTATAGTTATGCAAAAACTGTTACCATATAACAAAGAACTGCTGCAAAAGTGAAAGTTTTCAACTCAGGTACAAGGTAGACAAGGCAAGTATTCTTAGCTTAAATAGATTACCTCACTTTCTTCATCATCTTTGTCATTCACCTGGGATTTTGATGTTTCAGACTCAACTTCTTCCTCATCATCACTACTTTCCTGAGTTAGACAAAAAAAAGTCGAGAGAAATCTAAAATATGACAAATTATGCATTTCTTTCTCAAGAACAGAATGACAATTTACCTGTTTCTTGTTGTAGGCTTCCATGAGCTTCTCATATTCTGATTTCCTTTTTGCTGCTTTTGCTTCATATGGAGCTTTCTCCTACCAATAGCAACCCATGGAAGATTAGGTAAGGATTTGAGGGGCACTGACTTTCAAAATGCTAAGAATCAAGCCACAGATAGAGAAAAGAACTTACTAACAACTTTATATTCCATTTCCCATAACTAGTTAATTTGACTAATTAATATATGTGATAAATTTCCAACTTGTGACATCAATCAGGAGATGCATATCTCAAAATCCACCATCCAACCCTATGCAGTACCAAATATCTAGGTCCCCTGTAGTTTAGACAAAACTGGCATTGGCTTGACCATGCCATATTAGTTCCAAAGTCGTCGAACATGTGATTGGTGCATAGCCAGGTCCATAGGAGCCACATTGAAAGTTTTATGCATCACCTTTACAAACAGAATCCAAGGTATTTTCCAAGTTAAAGGCGACCATCGGAGTTGTGGTTGACATAATTCATTGTCCATACACATCCCAACCAACACAAGTAATTTTAGGTGATATTGAGAACTTACTGCATCAGACATGGACTTCCACTTCTCTCCCCCTGCTTTGCCCACCTTCATCACAATATCCAGTGACAAAATCAATTTGACATTCCAGATGAAGAGATATAAAAAATTCAACAGCAGCATTTTCCAAATCAAGTAAACACATGATAACAGATTGCTACTTACAGCAGAGACAGCCTTCACTTTTGGATGCTCTTGTTTGTAAATTATTCTGAACTCTTCTCTGCAACCAAATTTATAGTTGAATGATATCTTGCAGATGGACTCAAATTTCATTACTTTTGTTACAACCATCCGAGGGAAACTTACAGAAAAACAAAGAAAGCAGTGGGAGGTCTCTTGGGTTTGTTGGGGTCTTTCTTGGTTGATGTCACGTTCTTAGCGCGTTTTTTGTTACTCTTATCAGCCCGGATTGCTGCCTTTCGCTTTCCAATAATCCTAAAGAGAAGAAATTTACACACGATTCATTTCTTGTTATAATATACAAAAGGAAATAACCAGAATGAATTAAATGTAATGTAAGTATAATGCTTGAAACAATGACTTTTTGATCAAGAATGACATGGACCAAAAGTTAGACTCAGAATAACAAAGTTACTCAGACATTACACAACATTTGTCAATTAGAAGTTTTCGAGCAAAAGAAAATAACCTGTCTTCAACAGGCTTTACTGCTTCCTTGTTGTCCTTCCTTGCAGCTGCTCTACTCCTTGTTGCCTTCATCCTTACAAGAAAGCTTCCTGAAATAACACACTTAAAACTGTCATTAAACTAACAAGGAATGCTGAATCTAGATTCATATGATTATAGTCAACAAGGGAGACAACTTTGAATGAACAATCTAGGATTACAGTTCCAGGATCATTGTACTTAAAGTCGTATTATTTGCAACAAAGATTACATTTTTTTAACAAAATTTTCAATCTTGTACCCAAATTTTGTTGAAAAGTTCCAAAAAGAGGAAGTTTGAGCCATAAAAAACTAAAAATTTCGAGGAAAACAAGCTTGTCATAAAACATGAAAGTCAAACCAGTGTTCCTTTCATCAACAAATACACAGAAAAAGAAAATCAGACCATAAAAGTAACAGAAATACCCAGATAGAAAAACTTGCAAAGAGAATCAAAGGCTATACAAGGAAAATAAAACTAGATCAGCAAGGATCGCAACTAAAGACAAAAGACTTTGCACAAAAATAAAACTATCAAAACAAATAAACAGCAATAAAAAACGGATAAATATTAGATCAAACAAACAAAAATATATATGCAAAAAACTGTAAAAGGAAATATACCTCTTGAATGGAAGAAAAAAGAACCCAAGAAATTGCAAATAAAAAAGGAAAAAAAAAGTAGAGAATAGGAGGAAAGAGGGTACTAAAACTAAAAGCAGAGAAAGAACAGATGAAGATGCCAACAAGATAATCGTGGGAGGTCCATTAGGGTGATATGAGGCAACTTTTGGGAGGATAGTGAGGAAGTTGACTGTGGGTGCTTTTTGTCGCTTTGTTTCGGAGTTATGATCATGTTACTGGCGGAGTATCTAACATGTCTGACATATTGGTTTCTCATTGGTTGTCATCGAAACCAAGTCTACTGCTTGAAACTACTGTACACGACTTTTGTCACTTTATTTGCATGGAGTAGAATTAATAGGTCCCCTTCTGTGTTAGCTGAGCAATATTTATCTTTTCAATTTTCTCTCTATTTCCTTCCTTGCTGTACAATTAAGCAAATACTACGTAAATTCTGTCCACTTGATGTTAATCATAACTTGAAAAAGAAGGAATTGTAATTTCGTTCCCCTATAGACATATAGATAGAGAAAATTTCTTTTGCTTCAATCTTGGGCACAAAAAACAATCATTTTTCCATTATAAAACAACCTAATTGTTTGGTTAAAATGAATCCTTAAATGAAATCTATGATGGAAAATGACAAAACAATCCTAAATGACCCCACAAAATAATAAGGTGAAGAAGTCATCAGCCATCCAACCTCACCCACAAAGAGATAAGGCAGAAATAAGGGCCCTAAATTTCCCATTCACATCCATCAATTTGATAGAAATGAAAACACCAAAAACTAAGTGGGCATAAATAAACTTTGTCAATAGATTATTCCCTATTGAGTATTGACATAACAATATAACATAGTATTATATATTTTGCAAACCAACAACTCTCTAGCAACTCCATCAGCACCACCGCCTAGCCCTCAGCCATGGCCACAGCCACCACTGTAGCCGCTTCCACGTCACATTTTTTCCGTGCCCGTATCTACAACCCTAACGTAAGCTCTGGTAGAATCCAAGCAAGGTTTGGCTTTAACTTTGGCAAGAAGAAAGCACCACCACCACCCAAAAAAGCATCCCCAAAACCACGATCTGACCGCCTTGTTTGGTTCCCCGGTGCAAACCCACCGGAATGGCTTGATGGGACAATGATCGGAGACCGAGGGTTTGACCCTTTTGGCTTTGCTAAACCAGCAGAATACTTGCAGTTTGATTTTGACTCATTGGATCAGAACTTGGCCAAGAATGAGGCTGGTGAGATTATAGGGGTGATTAACGAGACGGCGGAGCTGAAGCCGACCCCGTTTCAGCCGTACACAGAGGTGTTTGGGATTCAAAGGTTCAGAGAGTGTGAGCTGATTCATGGGAGATGGGCAATGTTAGGAAGTCTTGGTGCTATTGCTGTTGAGGCACTCACTGGCGTTGCATGGCAAGACGCAGGAAAGGTACATACGTAGTATAATGTACTAATCAACTATATTAAATGCAAATTTCACGTATGTATATACATATATATATATTATATTATAAACCTCTTAAAATGTAGATTTTTAGGCATTCCTTAAAACATTTTAACAGCATCATCTCCTGATTTTTTCAAGAACATGTATAACTTCAAAAGTATACTTTCAAATATTAAATCTAAAATCAGCTGATTAACTCAAAATTGTTATCGGCCATTTATTTTATTTATTTATTGGTCACAATTGATTATTTATTTTAACTAAATGCCTTTGTTATTCGTAATAATATTTGTATTATTTGATACATAATTAAATTAGGAGTATTTATATAATTAATCTGACAACAATACACTTTCCATTTGGATTCATATGTAAACTAAATGTTTAATTCTAAAAAAAAAATAATGTAAACTATATGTTATTGTGTCTTTTATTGAACCTTAGGCTTTGAAATGCATGTGATTGTGTTTTATTTAAATGGCTATTAGCAAGAAGTGGATATAATCCCTATATATGTTATTTAAGTTTGTCAAATTTTGTTACTATTTCTTTAGTGAATTGGGTCTTAAGTTTATTTTATATTTAGTTGGCAATTCTTCATTAGGTAAGTGATTAGGAATGATACAAAAATAAATAGTATAGATGGACTCTTCAACATGATTTATTTATTACAATTATATGTAAATGCAACCTAAACTTATAAATTTATTGTTATTTTGGGAGCAAAATTAAATATTTGAGAGCTAGAGTAGGTGAGATGAGTGGAGGAAAAAGATTAATGTTGCATACAAGATTATTGATCGAAATACTTAAATCAGCGCCCCCCCACCCCAAAAAAAAAAAAAAAAGGATCTTCCATTTGGCGGGACACTTTCCTTGCATGACGGGAAAGATGACCCTTTGGGACCATATGAGAATGGCTGGATGGCAACACACCAATTTTTTGGTTTCTTCAATATATACATACGTGTCTTCTTGTGATCCAAGCAAAATTTTACGATTGCATTGGCTGATGAAGTGATGATGACACGTGTTGATTTTGATATCCACTGGCCATATTAAAGATGATAAATTTTGTATTTAAATTCTGATTTTTCTATTTTATTGGTGCTGGATTTTTTTTCTTTTCTTTTTGTTTTTTTTCAGGTTGAGTTGGTGGAAGGATCATCTTACCTTGGCCAGCCACTTCCTTTTAGCCTGACCACACTAATATGGATAGAGGTTTTGGTAATTGGTTACATTGAGTTTCAGAGGAATGCTGAGCTTGACCCTGAGAAAAGGCTTTACCCTGGTGGGTACTTTGATCCCCTTGGGTTAGCCTCTGATCCTCAGAAAATTGACAACCTGAAACTCGCAGAAATCAAGCATTCCAGGCTTGCCATGGTAGCTTTCCTCATCTTTGGAATCCAGGCTGCAACAACTGGAAAGGGTCCTATCAGCTTCATTGCTAGCTTTAACAATTAATTTGATGGTTCTATTGGGATAACAATTTGAATAATTTTATTTTATGTTCTTGTAAAAAGAAAAAAAAAACTGGAGAAATCTTATTTGTATGGCATTTATCTAAGTGGACAGGCCACTTGTTAATATGTACATCAAATTGAAAAAAAATTCAATTCAATCATGATCGAGAAAAGCCATGAAAAAGACCTTAGCATGGACTTTAGAAAAGTAAAATTAATGGGCCAAACACAATAAGGATTTATGAGCTCTTTGGGACATAATCCTTGAATTTATTGTCCCATTTTGACGAAAATAATCATCCCATTCTAACTTTATAGACACTAAAATATAGGAGTAGGTTTTCTTGAACAAAGGGAAACAAGGAATTCAGATTCACCATTGCAACAAAACCTATACCCTATCCCACCCTAATTATTACTTTTGCTATATTTTTTTAACAAAGAAAGTTGCTGAGAGTAAAAAAAAAAAAAAAATTATATTTTTAAATTTATTAACATTATTTTTTAAAAAGAAAAATACGAATCAATTGAGTTGATTTTATATTAGTTAATTATATTCTAAAAGACAACTTCATTATATCTAATTAAAGGTATGACTGGTGCGCGGTGACTTTTACTTTTTGGTAGGTATTTTTAATTATAATTTAACTATAAAATAAAAGGTAACAATAATGGAACCATTTAAAAGTAACAAGAAGCAAAATTCTTTGTTTTACTTAAAAGCAGTTAAAAAAAAAAAAAAAGCAAGCCTTTTACCAAATGCCAAATCTAACTAAACTTATGAAACAAACGTTCTATATCTTGCATTATTGTTGATATGAAGAGAGTCAATCATCATAGTTAATAAGGATTATAGGGGTGAGAAAAAAATTTAAAAAATTAAAAAAATCAAAAATTAATTTGAAATCGTAATATTTCATTAAATTTGGATCAATTTTTTTATTTAATTTAAATTAAATTTAAATATTAAATACATATATTAAGTTCAAATCGAATTTTAGATTAGAATATAAAAAACAAAAGAAAACTTTATCAAATTATATATTTTTATTAGTTTTTATATAATTTTTTAAAATTTTTATAAAATAAAAATAATTATTATATATAAAAATTTATTTAAATATATTAAAAATTTTATTAAAATAATACATAAAAAAATTTAAAATTTAAAAATCAATGAATTAAACCGATAAAATTTATTTTAGATTGATCTAATTTAAAAAAAAAATCAATTCTGATTTACATCAAATTTTAAAAATTTATATATTATAAATTATTTAAAAAAATAAATTAAATTTGATTCAAATAGGTGTCTCGGGTGGTGGGTTAGGTACAATAAGGCAAAGATTGGCATGATACTTTTGGATTGTGTTGCACAACTGTCCAAACTCCAACCCAAGTTGTAAATTACATATATAGTAAATAAATAAATAAAAAAAAAAACCAAAAGCCAAGAATAATCCCATCCAACATGCAAGTTTAGTCTTTCGTTATTTATTAAAAAAAAAATCGAATCCAACTCTCTTAATTGACGAATACATTTATTTATTTTAAAAATTTAAAGATAGATAAATTATTTAATTTTTTAAATTAAAATAAAATATATCATATCTGATAATTTAAAATAATTGATTATAAATTATACATTCGAGATGATTTTAATAAATGATCATTGATAAAATTTAAATTTAATATTTTTTCATCTAAAAAAATAAATCTAACTGATTAAACGAATAATTTATTAATCATTTAATTTTCTTAACTTCTCCATGATGTAAATTTCATCTTATCCAAACATAAAGTTGATGCTAAATGAATGAGTTTATATAAAACGTACAAAACAAATGATGAAGTTGATCAAAATATATATACAATAGTTATGTTTAGTTTGGTCAAAGGCAAAAAATAAAAAAAGAACAAAGAGAGTGATTGAGCAAGACCGTGGGCATGTGAATTCAATTTTTGTCCATTGATTCTTTATAGCTATCCAGTAATTATTTGACTTGTTGTCATTTGGCTCTTTCAATTTGTAATTGTGTAATTAGGAGGCATGACAATTGACATCACCAAATGAACTACCTCTTGAAATTATTGAACTTAACAAAAACATGATTAATCAAATAAAAATACATACTTATGATATAAAAATATAATTATAACATTTACAAGTAATTAAAATTTTTTCATGAATAAAACTTAATTATCATTCATTATTCATTAAAAATATTTACTAAAATTTGCTGCTTGATTCTCTGCTTTTCTTAAAAATAAATTTTTATAAAATTAAAATTTGATTGAACACATGCAATTTCTATTTTTGTATTTCTTAAGCTTCGGCCTTAAGATAAAAACCAACATCGGATTCTACGAAAGGAACGGGATTTCTTCTCCTAGTAGTAAAATAAAGAGCAAAGCAAAACTTGGGTAACACGTATGATACGCGTCTTGGTAGGTTCCACTCTACAGAAAAAAGTGAACATAAATGGTGAAATGTGATAGCTTCTTTGGTCCACATTTATGGCTAAATAAACTATTCAATACATTGAAGCCTACGCAAAACATAGACAAAGAGATAGAGTAAAGAAGCCAAAGCCGCAAAGCCAGAGTTTTCTACTATCCCAAACTCCGAAGTTTTCTCTGCTCTTTATAATTTCCCCCTTTTTTTATTTTCTTTCTTTCATATGCAATCCATTCATTTTCTTCAATTCTAAGTACCCTTTTCATCTATCATCAATCTTTTGTTTCTTTTTTGTGATAAAAATCATATCTTGGTATTCAAAGTTTTCATTTTTTTCCCCTTTTGATATACCAAAAAAAGATTTTTTTTTTCTGTGTTTTGTAAAGATCTGGTGGGTGGTGGATAGATGGGGAGGTTATTTGTGGTGAATCTTGAAGGGAAGATCTATAGTTGCAAGCACTGCAAAACCCATCTTGCTGTTGTTGAGGATATTGTTTCCAAGGTTGTTCCTTTTTTTTTTTTTAAATTTGATTCCTTTGACTTTGTCTGATAATCTTGTGAAACCTTCATCTATGACGTTTAACTTGTTTGGTTGTTCTGTGTTTGTGTAATGATGGTTTTAATTATGATTAGGGGACATCTAAGGTTCCCTTATTTTATATTGCATAGCATACATTTTCTTTTTGGATGAAACTTTATAATTAATGGAACTCCATGATTGATTAGATTGAATTTCTTCTATTTTTAAACTAGGAATTTGGATAATCCATGTGGGTTTTTTCTGGTTTTGTGTTGAATTGAAATTAATCTGTAGAGTGTGGGGGCAATGTAATTATGTATTTTGTTTTTGGAAGTTCAATGATTCTTTTATATATTATCAAGGATAAACTGGTTGCTGGGAGGATCTCAATATATGTTGTTATTGTTATCTCTTAAGAATAGATGTTACTTTGGTGTCTTCTGGAAGGCCTTGGCACTTTATGATGATGGCAAATTGTTGGTCTTTAGGACTAATTTGATGTTATACGTATTTTCTTTTGTATTTGAAAGGACTTGTGCTAGAGATAAAACTTGCTATGTGGAAATGTTATTCCTTTTATAGTGGTATGGCCTGCTATCATAGTATATAGAAACCCAAGTTAGCACAAGAAACCTAAGTCTCAATCAGAAAGTAGTTAGGTTTGGTGTGGGAGTTCTTTCCCCTCGTTTATCCTCCAAAAGATGCAGGGATACCGAATTTATCCTTTACTGCTACAACGCATGAATTCTTATTTGTATGTCTCACTTTATTTGCGTCTATCACATGACCTGACTGATGATATGAATGTTAGATTTTGAATGGTTGTTTCTGTGATAGATGACACTTTATGCTAACAACCGAGTCTGAAAGCCATGCTACTGTGAAGAAGATGGTAACGTTATTATGAACTGATGTTAATCACTTGAAAGTTGAAATGCATATACCTGACTTAGTGGATGATAATTGTGTTAGAGATGGAAACTGTGCTTAACTGCTAACGTTTTAATTAATTTACCTTTAGTTTCTAGATGAGAATTGAGCAATTATATATTTCATACGCATGGTGATGTAGTTCATAATTTGGAGTTTCCTTTTTCCTTTTTGTTTTCATATTGATATTAACGATTTTCATGGTGTCCAAGAAAATATTGGTTGGAGTTCTCTTAGAAGCACAGTTTCTAACTATGTGTTTTGCCTGTGTTCTTTTATTCAGTCCTTCCACTGCAGGCATGGGAGAGCATATCTCTTCAGTAAGGTGTAAGTTTTCTTAATTTTAGGCACCTCATCATTATGCATTAATACCTTATCTGTCTAGATTACTCTGGACATGGCCAACAACTCCAGTGCTTGCCTATGTCGTAAGGTGCCAGTTACTTCTATTATGACACGATTAGCCAGGGGTTTTCGAACTACGTTGTGCTCGTAATGTCTTGCTTAAAACATAAGAAATAATTCTGCTTGTTGAATTCATGGTTGATTCTAGCAATTTGCTTAGTTCTCTTAGACAAGGTAATAGCCTTCAATTGCTCAAAAGCACAAGTTTAGAAGACAGGGATTGCAGGTATCTTATTTTAATGTGCTTAACAGTGAACTAGGATAGTCAAGGATGGACTTCAGGACATATCACTTACATGATCTTTTGAGAAAATGAGATTTGAAGTTATCTAGACACAATGTTCATTTTCATAGATAAATTCTAATCTCCCATTATTTTGCAGAGTGAATGTTTCTGCTGGGAAGAATGAAGATAGAATGATGACAACGGGGTTGCACACTGTGGCTGACATCTTCTGTGTTGGGTGTGGATCAATTGTTGGGTGGAAATATGTAAGCTTTAGTGTTACATATTCAAAATTCAATGGTTTATGTGTCTTTACTTGTTGCTGTTAGTTACATGGATGGTTTCTTTCAGGAAACTGCCCATGAGAAGAACCAGAAATACAAGGAAGGAAAATCTGTCCTTGAACGGTGAGTAAAGAATCTGAAATATGGAGAGAAACTTTGATTCTGGTTAAAGGGGATGTTCTTAATAGAGATTCTCCGGATCACGTTGTTGAGCAGGTTTAAGGTGTCTGGTCCTGATGGAAGCAATTACTGGCTCAGCCATGGCATGCATGTCGGTGGGAGTGATGCAGATGATGTTTGATTAACAATGAATTCTGGTGCAGTTCTGATTGTTGTACATTCTTTAACCCTTTATTCTCATTCAGCTCATGTGAATCCCTAAAACTGGGCATTCGTTAATTCAAGCAACATGCCCAACACGCTGTGAATAACATGATTGGAAACATTGAAATGTTGATTCTGATTTAGCCAATGTTCAAACCTGACTGAATATTGTGTTGCAAGTTGCAAATTGAAGTTTCAGATGTTGATATTGATGAACTCATAGTAGGATTTCTATCTCTACTCAGAATGCTATCATTTGCATTGTTTTTAATGCAATCATTTGCAAATGAAGTGGAAGTTCAACTCACTTCTTCTTTTTGGTTCATAATCCATTGAAGTCATTGATCAGTTTTTCCAACTCAGGTGTTAAAAATCTGTAATCTAAAATGAACATATTGATAGGAGATTGTTGATTGTTGATCAAGAACTCCATTTCCCATTCAAATTAATACTGAAAATAGAAGCTGTATCTTCTTTCTTTGTTTTATGTGTGGTTAGTTGTTTGCGTGACAGACGCAACTAACTTGAACAAGTTGGATTTGCCACCATTATCAATAAATTCATACTCGTCAAATTTATTACATAAAGTTTTCATTTATTTATTTATTCTAATTGAGTTTATGTCTTATAAAAGGCTAACATTTAAGTAATCAGTCAGTATCTGACCAGGCCCTACTATCCCAACAATCAGGCACCAATACCTTGAGATGCGTAATTGATTGATATTATCCTTAAATTTAGTAGTTTAGTAGTTGAGATTATCCTACAACAACCCCTTCAAAAAAACTTTTAATAATTTATTTTTTTCCCTCATTTTCTTTAGTGCTAATAAGAATTTTTTTATTTAAAATTATCGAAATTTAAATTTTAAAATCTTATTAAAATTAAAAATATAATATTTTATTAAGAAATCATGCAATGTGACAAGAGTTTTTGATTTTTAGTAATCACGAAATCTTGATGTGATTTAGTTATAATTACAAAATTTTGTCTTAACAAACAAATAAACTTTGTTTTAACTATTTAAGTGGTTAAGTATAATTTTTTATTTTAAAAAATCTGATTTTGATTAAAAATTTATGATTATCGTTTCAAAATTTGTAATAAATTTCATGGAATCAAAGTCTATGAGATCATAGGTTTATTTATTATTAGACGGTGGCTGGGCTGGAATACATTGAATGTGGAAAAGTAAAACATGGAATATTCGGATAATCCTTTGTTGATGGGACCTTCAAGCCATTGGGTAGCTTCTCAAACCGGTCCTCAAATGGTATAATGAAAAAATTAGTTAAGGCTTATGCCATCAACCAGAAATGCTCTATTGGCAGAAGCACCTAACTTTTAGATTATTCTTTGACTCGAGCCATAACTGGTTCATTTCTTTTGCCCTGATTTGAACACAAAGTCAGAATATGCGTTTTTGCTTAAAGAGGCAAAGCAAATTTTATTTCATGGCATATATTGTAACTACAAGAAGAAAGCATATTCAAATTCCTGAATCGCATAAACTCAAAGCAATTTCAATTGCCAAACCAAGAGAATATGTTAAACACGCGTAAAGCACGATAAATAAACCTGGATTAGGAATCTCTGCTTCTTAACCGAATTGATTAAGTGAAAATGATTCCTACTCCAAGAAATGAAGTTCGTAACTGCTCTAATTTTCGGAACCAGAAAGCTTGGAAGACTTGAGGGTACATTGATTCGAGACTGAATTTCTAAGTCGTGAATCGAATAAATTTAGCCAAGTGAGTAAACCATTCGCTCAGACAGCTCTACACCCACCACTCTCTGGTAGCTGCGCAATTGTTTTTCCAAGTAGTTCCTTTCATTGGAGAAGCCAAATGCTTGTTGCAAATCCTTCGAAAAGAAACCACTAATTAGAATAAAAGCATTTACAAATATGCTGAACAGATTTCACTAGGAGACAATTAAAGGAGGTTTACATTTAGATTCCGATCCAAGGACCCGGATTCTTTCTCTAGATTATGGATATGGCCTTCTGATAATAAATATGCATTTATATACTATATGGAAGAGAGGCAAAGATCGATTGCATTAATATTTTATTAACAAATATCTCAAGGAGCCACTAACGTACTAGGACAGGAAATCATGAGATAAAAATCTCTGAAACCTCTTGCCATTTGATTATTAAGTGCTCCTTTTCTTTCGGTTACATTCTTTTCTTACTGGAAATTAGCATACAAGTAAGAGCTGAAACCAACATGCACCTAGCATTTACTTACCTTGTATCTTAGTCGAGATCCCTTCAGTCCAATTAAAACATTAGTCAAATCACCATCATCTATTGCTGCAGTTACCAACCCACTTGTTTCTGGGTTCAATTCATCGTCAGAACTCTCAGATTCAATCTCAATCATTTCTTCATCATCATCCATAAGAACATCATTTGAGTCTACTAGTTCAATGTCATCATGCAGCAATTCCATGCCACTTTCAGGAATACAGGATTGGGTGGTCCCCGTATCTTGTAAACTGGCAATATCAGATAAGATGACATATTTCTTTTTATCAAGCATTGGCCTCGCTGTATGAAATGCAACCCACCTGGAAATATTATTTCAGCTTGTAAGTCTTTGAATGTCACCAGTACATGCAGAGTCACAAACATGCAATCCAAGATTCAACTCTAGTTATACACCAAGGGCAGGACTTGTAGACAAAATTTTCACGAAGTCAAGAATGTCAAGCAATGGATAGAGAAACTAAGATGAAAGGTCACAGAGGAGAGAAAATAAAGAAGAGATTAAGTTTGAATGCTAAAAAGGTTGAAATTTTGAATGATTAAAAAATTCCTGGATGCCCCCAGTTCTTGGTTATTTACCTTAATAAACTTTAACACCATGCACTGTAAAGCATTCACATTATGGCATTCAAAATCCAGAAATCAACAAAAAAGCACATCATCACTGGAGGCAGAACTTACTGGTAACGAAGAGGACAAAGAAGCTCAGACGGGTGATATGCTGCTTTATATCTCATCTTGCTGCAGGAGTGTATGTAATAGCCCAGATAATAATACTGAAGACTAGCACTATAGGCTTGATTCTCTTTCACCCAACCAATTTCTTGCAGAGCTGAATATTTACCCAGTGATAAAAATGCATAATCAGGATCCCAGAATAAATACTTACTTGACAAGCACCCAGGAAGGATGTCTATCACACCAACAGCAACTAGCTTGCCATCAATGATGTATTGCTGATGGAAAGAGCCAAAGCCACACGGAGAAACCATGCCATCAGCAGATGGTGAAACAAATAATAAGGGAGTTTCAACAAGAAACCTCCTGTATGAGCTTTCTGTGACATGATCTGGTGCATCATTATGCACTTTAATTTGATATCGCCTATACAACTCATACTCTTCGGGATCAAAACTGGACCTGTTCAAACGGATCTCAAGCTTCCTCTTTTGTCCTTGAGGATGTTGAGAGCTCTTCTTTGAACAAGAACTTTTACTTGCACTCCCAGATTCTTCAGGCTGAGCAACAACTTGAACATATCCATCCGAAGATACAAAATTTGCAGCAGAATAAAAATTAATATGCCCGTTGCAAGCCCTAATGGACAGGCCAGAAATGGTTCCTAGCTGATTCAGAGAACATGCCAACTTTTCTGCGATAGATGGGGGGCTTAGATCATTTTCTTCTGCACTCTGTCTTATCATTTGTAATTGTTGGATGTCCTCAGCTGACTTTGTACGCCTCAAAGTAGCTGCTAATTGGAAGGCAATGCTGCTGGAGTATAAAAGATCTTCTGATCCTTCAACTGATAACTTTCTTTTAGCATGTGACACCTTTTTGACAGCAGCTTTTGGCAATTGAATTCCAGAAGGAAATTCCCCACTTTCAATATATGCATGCACTACTTTGTCTAGTTTGTCAGAAAGATGATGCATAAACTCTTCTGCCTTATTTTCCCCTTCCTTGCCATGAGTCCCTGCTGAGTTTGAAATTGCATGATGAACAGAGCTGCCTGTATGCTCAGAAGTTTTGCGATTGTCTTTATGTCCCATTGGTTTTCTCAGCTCGGGCATGCCATCTAAAAACCTAGGCACACACTACTGTCAAAACTCATGATCTATGTATTCCAAAAGAATGTGGTGGATGCATAATGAAATAGTATTTCATATGTAAGTCAATAATTAAGACTAAGCCTTTTGATGCAGGTTATCTCCATATTTGAAAAACTATGACAAGGGGCAAAAAAAACCCTTTTGGTCACTATAACCTAAAAACATGGGGGTTAAATGGCCCAATTACAACTTATTTAGAACATGAAAGTATCTTCTTTTTTAGCAATCCAACTAAAAAAAGTTATGATAACATGAAAAAGATATCAAGATTAAAATTTTGGAATCAGAAACTGAGACAGAAATCGGGTATGAGTATGACTATACCTCTGCATTCGTTTATAAACTCGAAGTTGCTCTTTAGAAGGGACAAAATCACTTGCCTTCAACCGAATGGTATAAGATGGGCAGCATGTCCTTTCCATCTCAGGTTTGTAGATAAAACAGCCGGATCTCCTCCAACCACGGTCAAGAAGATCTAATAAGTAACAATAGAGAAAACAGTATTCAACCAACAAATCTATAGACATCGATATCAAATAACAAAACATCAGAAATGATAAAATCAGATTGCTCTTAATGATCACAACCCCAAAATTCTCATTCAATTCTAAATTACACATATCCATATCCATAAGGTGAACATTCAATTCTAATGTTGAATTACACATTCCACTTTCTTCATTTCCACTTTATGATTTTTTGTTTAAACATAACAAAAATTGAATGATCAAAATTTTAAGTTCACAGCTTAGCAAATCGCCAAAAACTAAAAAAAAAAAACCTTGATAATCATTAACTGTAATACTATGCGCCCATAAACCTGCGAAAACAACACCAAAAATAAACAAAAATGAATCAGAAATTGTCAACAAATATTTCGCATAGCTTAACCCTAAATTAATTAACTATTAGTTATACCTAAAATCAAAAGAAAGTTTAAATCAATCATATCAAACAAAATATCGAAGAAAAAAAGGAGAAAAGGACTGGACCGTGAGTGATACTGGTTCGACCGGAGGATTTGCAATAACCACAGGAGCTTCGACGACTGCCGCAATCGACCACTACGCTCTCTTGTCTGCTATTGCTGCTGCTCGCTTCGCTTTTCATTTTTGATTCCTTTCCGCAACTGAAACGACAAAAAATAAAAAATTGACTTTAAATCCTAGAATTGTCAGAGCTCTTCTATTTGGGGTTTAAAAAGACATCTCTTTTAAATCAGAAGAATCTCTCTCTTTCCTTCTTTCTTTCTTTGTTCTCCGAATCAACTCCAAGCTTCCCCGTTACCACGCCATTGACATGTTGTTTTTATAAATATATATATTTTTTATTTTTTTATAAAAATGTGTTCGTTTCGTAGGAAAAAGAAAGGAAAAAAAAAAAGATAATAATTGGAAAAGAAGAATAATTGTTTTAGATGTTTGCATTTAAGGACTTATAGAAGTTTTATATTCTGTGAATGACAATTTGCTTTCAATTTTTGCTCACTAAAACCCCTGGTTCCCGATACCCGTGTTAGGTGATCTTAAATCTTAACCGTTAGATATTCTGACTTTTCTTGATCGCTTGTCGTTGTCCACATTTGATTTATGTGGACAGCTAATAACCGATTCTAAAATCTTTGAGACGCAAAATCATTTTGATGGTTTTTATTTGGATTCTTTGATAAATTGAAAATTTTTTAGACATACAAATTGCTGTTTAAAATTATCAAGCTCTAAAAAATTTAAATTCAATTTTCATTTCAAACAACCTTAAATGATTTATAAATTTAACATAAATTTTCGTTAAAACTTACGATAATCTTAGATGTTTCGTAGAGCCTTGACAAATGGTTCTAACTCATTCTGGCAAAACACGTAAAAAAGAGTTCAATTAATCTTAAATTGCTTTCAAGTTTTAAACCAGGCTATTAGCTCTGCTCAATCGACAAGGTTGTGCCTCTATTCTGTCCACTCCATTTATGAAACCAACATAAACAAAGGAACAAACCATGAAACATGCTAAAATATCTAGTTTGCAATCCTTATACGAAAATCTGAAAACAGATTAAGTTAATTTTAAACGATCTCACCATGACCTGCAAATGTCATGGTCCATACGCATGTCCTAAGCTTTTAAATTCCTAGCCCGTGACACATACATATGAAACAAGAGGACATTGACATCAGTTCAATAGCATGAAGGATTAGGGTAAAAGAACATTAATAACCTTAACTTATAGCTTCCAAGCTAGTTTACTAACCTAACTTATGTGAAATACAGATAAAAAGTATGAATCTTAAAGATTTTGCATGACCCTATGGCACCATTAAGGTCCTTAATCAACTAATTTAATCAAAACTCCCAATATCCCTTGGATTCATTTTCATTTTTCACTGCTGTCATGTCTTTGCTTATTTGTAGAATGATGCTCTAAATTCCTTTAAAGAACATAGGTTAGCACCCAAACTGTGTACATAATACAATCCTAAAGAAGGTTTCAATTCAATTATTTCAGCTCCGAATCAATAATAAACAACTAAGTTACAATGAAATATTATTTATACATAATTATTTAACAAGTTTAGGTCTTGCTCGTTAATAAAATTAATCAGATAAATCATTTCACCATCTAAGAACGGACATACACCATCACCTATAAAATAAAAAAAAAAACTATCAATCTGTCAATACTTAATATGTTTGATTGGTTATAATTGTTAGAAAAATGGGGTCCAGCCCTATGTAAGTGGTTTTGGACCAAGTAAAGGCCATGGGCTTTGATCTTTCATTTTACACAGAGTCTTAGCTACTTAATAAAAAAAAGGTGGGGTTGTTTTATGGGTGTGTCGAAAACCAAGTAGAAAAAGAAGAAAAGCTAAAAAAAGCAGAAAGAAAAAGAGAAGGGAGAGTTGGTTGAACAGAAGTCGATTCGTGGTCCGATTGAGTTGAAACCTTGTCAAGAGGTTTATGATTAAGAGTTCTACATTATGAACGGTGAAGATCGGGTTTAAAGCTCTCTAGGAACAAATCTAAGGGTGTATTTGTTGAGTCACTTATTTGGTGAGATTTTTCAACTGTTTCTCTAGTTGTTGATTAGCTCTAGTTTTAGTTAGAGAAGAACTTTATATACCTATTATTTGATAGTGAAGATTTTTCTAGTGATCCGTAATTTTTTCCTTCTACACTAGAGGGTTTTTCACGTAAATCTTGGTGTGTGCTTTTATTTTTCCTGTGTTTTTTATTATTGATTGTTGTCTATTGCTTCTGCAATATTATGATTATTGCTTCAGGTGCAATAAGTGGTATGAGAGCTAGGGTTATTTTGAGACATTGATACAGAAGCAACTCATGATAGAAGTAAATTCTGTTTGAGATAATGGAAGGTGATACAGGTTCTATGATAAAATTGACAGCATTGAATTATTCAATTTAGAAGCCTATAATGGAGGATCATCTATACTGCAAAGATTTGTATGAGCTAATATTATGTGATTCGGTTAAACCAGCAAATATGAAAGATGAAAGCTGAAAGAAGCTAGGTAGAAAAATGATGGCCACAATCAAAAAATAGGTTGATATCAGTGTGTTTCATCATGTAGATGCTCACATTATTTGAAAAAAATTGACAGCATTGTATGAGAGAAAAATAGGAATGAATAAAGTTATGCTCGTTAAAAAACTTGTAACTTTACAGTACATGGATGGACGATTTGTTACAGAGCGTTTGAGTGACTTTTAAGATATATTTAATCGGATGACTACTATGGAGCTTAAGATGGATGATGAAATGAAGGTGTTATTTCTTTTGGGTTCATTGTCAAATAGCTGAAATACTCTAGTTGTGACTGTTCTTAATTCAGCTCATAATTATAAGGTGACATTGAAGATGGTAAAGGACAATATGCTTAATGAGAAAGTAAGACGAAAAGATGTAGACCCTGTGAATCAAGCCTGGTCATAGAGAACAGGGGTAGAAATATCGACAGAGGTCAGGACTCAAAAGGTCGCAGTAAGTCTAAACATAGATCTAAGTCTAGAGGTAAAGTGAAGTGTTTTTATTGTGGTAAGACAGGTCATATAAAATGAAACTGTAAAATCTTGAAGCATGAGTGAAAAGATGAGAAAGATAAGAGTTTAAATGATGGCAATGTTACAGCAGTGAATTCAGATAGTGATTCAGTTACTTTGATTTGTACACATGGTGATTGTAATCATGTTAGTGATCCCGACATTGAGTGGATAGTTGACACAGGAGCGACATATCATTGTGTTCCTAAGAGAGAGTTGTTTACAACTTATAAAGTAGGAGACTTTGATTGTACCAAGATGAAAAATAAGAATGTATCACAGATTATCAAGATTGGTAATATTGTTATACAAACTAGTACAGGCTGTATGTTAACTTTGAGGGATATAAGACAGATTTCAGATATGAGAATGAATTTACTTGCTATTAATATCCTTAATAAAGACGGATATGAAAATCGATAAAAGAATAGACAGTAAAAGCTTCTCAAAAGATCTATGGTAGTTACAAGAAGAAGATTATGCTGCACAATATATAAGACATGGATGTAATTGAACGGTAATCAGGTAAATACCGTTGAAGATGATGCTTCAACAAACTTGTGGCACAAGAGGTTGGCACACATGAGTGAAAAATGGGTTATAAGTTTTGGCAAGGCAGTCTTTTATTCCTTTGACCAAAGGTATGTCTCTCGATTCATGTGATTATTGTTTGTTTGGTAAGCATCATAGAGTTTCTTTTCGTAAAAGTTCTCAGAGAAAGAAAAATAGATTGGAATTAATTTATTCTGACGTATGTGGTCCCATTGAGGTTGAGTTATTAGGTGGTAGCAGATATTTTGTTACTTTTATTGATGATGCTTCACGTAAGACTTGGGTGTATAATACAAAAGTCAGGTACTGTAGTATTTTTAAAAATTTTATGTCATGGTTGAAAAGATGACAGAGTTACCCTTGAAGTGTATTTGAACTGATAATGGTGGGGAATACACATCTAAAGGCTTTGAAGAATATTGTTCAAAGCATGAGATCAGGCATGAGATAACAAAATTTGGAATACTGCAGCATAATGGTATAGCTGAAAGAATGAATCACACCATTGTGAAAAAAGTCAAATGTATGTTGAGGATGGTAAAATTACTAAAGCCATTCTGGGGTGAAGCAGTCAACACAGCTTGTTATTTACTTAACATGTTACCATCAGTTTCTTTGAACTTTTGACATTCCAGAAAGAGTGTAGACAGGGAAAGATACTTCATACTTTCACTTGAAAGTTTTTGAGTGTAAAACATTCATGCATGTGCCAAAAAGTAAAGATCAAAGCTTGACAGTAAAGTCACACAGTGTGTGTTTGTAGAATATGGTGATGAAGAAATTTAGCTACAAGATATGAGATCCAGTAAAGAGAAAGACAATCAAAAGCAGAGATGTGATCTTTCATGAAAAAGAAAGCATAACAGACTTTGAGAAAAATGAAAAGACTACACGAGTTACTGTTGAGTGTGATGTTTCAACACCGATAGGGATTCCATAGGAAAGAGCCACAGATGGTGAAAATGAGCAAGAAACAGAACTTGAGGATATGAATGAGCCAGCCACAGTTGATGATGAGCCAGATGCAATTAGTTTTGAGCAGGAAGAGCAATCTTCTCTACCTAAAAGTGTTCAGCAGGTGAGCTACCTTCGACATCAAGTGATATAGAGTCTTAGCCCAGGAGATCTACTAGAGAGCACAGGTCATCTACTAGGTATCCAAGTTTAGATTTTATTTTAGTTATCAGTAAAGGAGAGTCAGAAAGCTTTCAAGATGTGCAGGCTACTCCGGATAGAAAGTACTGATTAAAAGCAATGAAAGAAGAGATGGAGTCATTGTAAAAAAATAATACTTATGATTTTGTTAAACTTTAAAAAAAAAAGGCCATTAAAGAATAAATGGGTGTTCAAGTTGAAAAAGGATGGTGACAAATTAGTGAGGTACGAAACTCGATTGGTAGTAAAAAGTTTTTCTCAAAAATCAGGCATCGATTTTGATGAGATCTTTGCTCTAGTTGTAAAGATGAGTTTTATTCGAGTGGTACTGAGATTAGTAGCTAGTTTGAATCTTGAGCTTGAGTAACTTGATGTTAAAACTATATTTTTGCATGGTGATTTACAGGAGAACATTTATATGAATCAGCCTGAGGGTTTTTGAAGTGAAAGGAAAAGAACACTTAGTTTGTAAATTAAAGAAAAATTTGTATGGCTTGAAACAAGCTCCGCGATAGTGGTACAAGAAGTTTGATTCTTTTATGGTGAGTCATAACTATAAAAAAACAACAGTGGATTCTTGTGTGTATGTTAAACAATTCTCTAATGGTAACTTCATTATCCTATTATTATATGTTGATTGTAAGACAATATGCTAATATGGTTTGCAAGTTGAAAGAACAATTGTCTAAGTTTTTTGATATGAAAGATTTAGGTCCAGCAAAACAGATTCTTGGTATGAACATTATCCGGGATAAGAGAGCTGAAAAGCTGTGGTTATCACAGGAAAAATATGTTGAACGAGTGCTTGGTAGATTCAACATGCAACATGCTAAATCAGTTAGCAGTCTACCTGCCAACCATTTTCATCTAAGTAAGAAATCTTATCCAGTGTCTAAAGAAGAGCCACTAGCTATGTCTAGTATTTCTTATTCTTCTGCAATCAATTTTTTAATGTATCTTATGATTTGTACAAGGCCTGACATTGCTCATGCAATTGATGTAGTGAGCAAAATTTTTTCTAATCTGAAAAAGGTTTATTGGAAAGCAGTGAAATAGATTTTTAGATATTTAAGGGGTACCTAAAAAATGTGCTTGACTTATGGAGTTTCACAACCAGTTCTAGAAGGGTTTACTGATACTGACATGGCAGACGATCTTGATGGTAGGAAATCTACTTCAGAGTATTTGTTCACTTTTAAAGGAGGAGCTGTATCTTGACAATCTAAGTTGCAGAAGTGTGTTGCTTTGTCAATTACAGATGTTGAGTATATTGCAGCAATCGAAGCATGTAAAAAAATGCTTTGGATGAAACGCTTTCTTTTTGAATTGGAGTTGAATAAGAAAGAGTATGTGGTATTTTGTAATGGTCAGAGTACTTTAGATTTGAGTAAGAATGCCATGTACCATGCTAGAACAAAGCACATTAATATTAGATATCATTGGTTACGTTCAGTGATTGAAGAACAGTAGATGCTATTGAAAAAAGTTCATACTGATAAGAATGTAACAGATATGTTGACTAAAATACTTTCCAAGAAAAAGCTTGAGCTTTGTAGTAACTTGGCCGGAATGAGTTCCCTGGCCAAGGTAAGTTTCAAATGAAACTGCTATGGTGATGAATCTCCTTCTAATAGGGCTAGAGGGGGAGATTGTTAGGAAAATAAAGTCCAGCCCCATATAAGTGGTTTTGGACCAAGTAAAGGTCATAGGCCTTGATCTTTCATTTTACATAGAGCCCTAGCTATTTAATAAAAAAGAGGTGGATTGTTTTATAGGTGTGTCGAACACCAAGTAGAAAAAGAAAAAAAGCCAAAAAAAGCAGAGAGAAAAAAGAGAAGGGAGAGTTGGTTGAATGAAAGTCGATCCGTAGTCCGATTGAGTTGGAACCTTGTCATGAGGTTTATGATTAAGAGTTCTACATTATGAACGGTGAAGATCAGGATTGAAGCTCTCTAGGAACAAATTTAGGGTGTATTTGTTGAGTCACTTATTTGGTGAGATTTCTCCAATTGTTTATCTAGTTGTTGATTAGCTCTAGTTTTAACTAGAGAAGAACTTTGTATACTTATTATTTGATAGTGAAGATTTTTCTGGTGGTTCGTAATTTTTTTTCCCTCTACACTGAAGGGTTTTTCACGTAAATCTTGATGTGTGCTTTATTTTTCTTGCATTTTTTGATTATTAATTGTTGTTTATTGCTTCTGTATTGTTGTGATTATTACTTTAAGCGCAACAATAATTTACAAGTCGATCAGCAGAATAAGAAACAATTATGCTTAAAAAATTAAACTTACATCTTAGCAGTTTCTTGATCAGTTGCATCATTCTTTGCATCCTGATCAGTAGGAATTCATACAAAACCACTTTTTCAGCTGCTTAAAGTTTAGTAGCATATGCACCCCAACTTGAGCATAAAATTTCGTCTCCTTCCAGCTCGCATCGTTTGTTACAATGTGATACAATCTCCCAGTACGTCCTTCACAGCATGACCCCAGAACCTTGTTAAACAGAATGCCTGTTCCAGCTCAAGAAAGCTATGACTGAACATTAACTACGTTAAGGATCACACGACCACAGATAGGCTTCTATGATGACCAAAGAAAAGAAGTACAATATACAAGAATATTATGATTGTTGATCAGCTCGAGTAAATACTTATTTCAAGATCAATTTTAGTATATTATCAAAATGAGATTCATTTTTTTTTTTTTAGGATTATAATATCAATAACATGATTTATATTAACTTATAAAATATTATCTATTTTAATTTCATTTTATCTTATAAAAAATATTTTATAAATTAAAAGTAATGTAAATATTTATATCGCAAGAACAACTTCAACGCACAGCTGGGGTTACCATCTTAGACAAAAGAGACTTTGTAATTCTGAAACAATGTAAATTGGGCTTGACCTGAAAACGGGCAATTTGGCCCAAAGATTACATTGATGGGCCTAGGAATGAACATGATGAAACCCAACCCATGATGATTTGAATTTCGCAATATTTAAACACTTCAAGGGCATGACCGCAAAATAATAAAAACAAAAACCCCATTCCCGTAAAAGAAAATATTTAAAAGAAGGGTATTATCGTGATTATGCATCCACCTAAAAGCAAAAATCTGACAACGTAGACTTTAAGTGAGAGAAAACACCGACAGCACTGGTTTCAGTTGATCCGTCATTCAATATTTCCTTTCTCTTCCCATTTCACCCTTCTCTTTCATCTCATTTACACTGCTTTGCCACACTCCGCCATTGTCGTTTTCCTCTTCCCTCCCTTCTCTTTCCCATGTCGTTTTACATTTCCATATCCTAAGCTCAACCTAACTCTTTCAAACGCTACGTTTTGAGCTGAAAAAGGCTTCGTTGATCTGCGAGAATAAATTTGAGAAAGGTGAATGATGAATCGGAGCTTTAGGTCTCAGCAAGAAAAGGCAATGCAAGCGGCGGCTTTGAAACAACAGCAACAATTAAGAGCTTCGATGATGAAAGAGAAAGAAGATGAGCTCGCATTGTTTCTCGAGATGCGAAAACGTGAAAAAGAACAGAGTAATCTTCTTCTTAATCACTCCTCCGAAGGCATCGATGCTTCTTTAGGTAAAATTTAAAATTTATTCTTAATTTTTTAAGGCTTTACTTAGTTTTGAATTTTTTAGCTGTTATGGTAATTTGGTGATTTTTGGAAATTGTAGGATCTAAACCTGGAACTTCTCCGATATTTAATCTTTCGGCACCGACAACTACTTCGGCGAGAAAGACGGGTGGTGCCGCCGATGATTTTCTTAATTCTGATAGTGATAAAAATGACTATGACTGGTAATTTGTTTGTTTATTTTTTCTTTTAATTTAATTTAATTTATTAATTTAGGCATCGTTTGGCTGAAAGAAAAATTCCAAAAGCGCCTTTCAATTTACAAAAGGAAAATGTGAATTAAAAATTGAAAATTAGAAATTAAAAATGTAAATTTTTTTGGATAACGGAATAATTATGTTAGGATTGGCTTTACAATTTAGTAATTTCTTTATTTTTAATAAATTATTATAATATTGGTTGATTGTAACAAAAATGCAGAAGCAATACGAACAACCAAACAGAAGCTTGATTTTAAAAGTCATATTCATGCTTAGCTTAGTTTTGCATTTGAATGGTTTTTATTATCTTTATTGGTAGGTTTCATTTAATTTACTTAAACTTGGCCGAAGGATTAATAAGGCAATATGAAGAGAGAGGAAAAGAAACAAGAAAGAAGGATGATAATTATTGATGACATCTGTGATTGACTAAAGTTAATAATTTGATGGTTGTAATGGGCATTTTTAACATGTGCCATGGGGTCACCAGCAGCAACTAGAGCATTTATATTTTCTAAATTAGGTGGCTGCTTTGAAGTAAAGTATTGATGATGACTTGCTATAGTTTCTTTTCATGAATTGCTTGCAGTCTTGTACTGGGAACTGAAACTTCACTTTCCTAGCTGAATCAAGTTTTGAATTACATTTCATTGTTAAAAATTTGATTCCATTCATTTCTGTCACGATTTGTTTCCAATTTGATTAGATTCAGATGTCATATTTCTTGAGTCTTATTTTATTCCATTTACATGTTGCTTTTCCTTTGTTTCTCTAAAAGAAATTAGCAAGCTTTTAGATTGTTGCTGCTACTTTGTGGACAAATCTAAGCTAGTTACCTCAAAATGTTAAGTTAGTCCTGAGTTCTGAAACGAGTCAAATGTTAATCATCAATACCTAAGGTTTAGATAACAATTTCGCAGATTATTTTTGCAATTACCTTGCAATGCTTTGATATAACTAGAGAAATGGTCCCAAGATAAGGACTGGATTTCCTGTATTGGTGGGGCTGAAGCTGATACTTAATGGCTTGTGTGAATCCAGGTCTAACCAAAATTTGATAATTTTACTAAGCTTTTATTGATATGTGTTAAATGTCTTCAAGTTGCTTAATCCTTTCTTTTTTCCCCATGAATGTAATTAAGTGAAAATATTTTCATTTAATATGATGATATTAACAGGAATTCTCTTCCATTTCAGGCTTTTAACACCTCCTGGTACTCCTCTTTTTCCTTCCTTGGAGATGGAGTCTCAAAAGACTGTAATGAGTCAGATTGGCAATCCTAAGGCTCATCCGACTGCCCTGAAATCTAGAGTATGAAAAATTTTTGTAATGCTATAATATGGATTGCATGCCTTTTGAAAAGTTTTGATTATTTAACAACATGATATGGTAATTGCTGGAAATAGGAAGCTATCCCTCCCAACATTTATTCAATGAGATTCTGATTTCCTTGTAGCCATTGTTTTTACCAAAACTTGGCCCTGTGATGGCCATTTTGCTGTGAAATTTGATTATTTCCCACCAAGCTGTTAGATCAGAGTGTGGTTAGGAATCAGCAAAACTGAAGTCTATTTATTTTTGTATCTACATTAAAGGGCTTTGTTTTAACTAGGAACCAACGTTGATGACTGCCTGTTATCTTGGATCACATTAATCTTCCTCTATGTCTGTTACTGACTTGCCATTAAAATGAATTACTACTAATTCACACGTTAGCAGGAATAACTATCATTAATGCCCAAATTTAAGAAGTATTTTGAAGTTTTAAAAATCTTTGTGTACCTGTTAAAATATGATGGATCATCCGTATTTTCAAAGATAATTTTGTATTTTAAAATCCAAAAAAGCTTATTCCATGGTTTTATTATGTTTTTGGACCTTTAGGTGTTCTAATGATTGGGTCATGAACTTATTGGCTATCGATTTTTGTTCATTGTGTTTATAGCTAGCAAATCCCCAGCCAGATTCTGCTGCCAGGGGCAACTTAGCATCAAAGCAACTGGCATTGTCACCTGGGTTGAATTCCACAGGGATTCGGAGGCCCTCATCATCAGGGGGTCCAGGTTCGAGACCTACAACACCCACCAGACGCCCTACATTGACTGGAGCATCTAAACCTATGAGATCATCAACACAGAATCTCGGCCCATTATCATCGACTAAGTCCTCAATTTCTGCAACTAAGCCTATAACATCTGCAGCAAAGCCTGTAATATCTGCAACTAAACCTGCAACAAAACCTGGAACGTCCACAACTAAGCCCACAGTTTCTGCAGCCAAGACTGGATCTTCTGCAACTAAACCTACAGTTTTTGCAAGATCCTCCACACCAACGAGGTCCACAGCTAGGTCTTCAACACCAACTGCAAGACCTACTTTACCGTCATCCAAACCTGTATCAAGAGCAACCACACCAACTCGTCGACCGTCAACTCTATCAAGTGCTCCTAATATATCTGCTTCTCCAATTAAATTATCTCTTTCATTTACAAAGCCAACTTCTGCAGCATCCAGAAATTCTGTACCTTCACGTGCCGCCTCTCCGACAGTAAAATCTAGATCATGGAAGCCTTCTGAGATGCCTGGTTTCTCACTTGATGCTCCACCAAATTTAAGAACAACACTACCTGATAGACCACTTTCAGCCACAAGAGGTAGGCCTGGAGCACCAAGTTCTCGATCTTCTTCTGTTGAACCAGGTCCTACTGCTAGACCACGACGACAGTCATGCTCTCCTTCAAGAGGACGCCCCCCTAACGGTGCTATGCTGCATGTCAGTGGGAGCTCCGTTCCTGCAGTAAGTCGTGGATATTCCAAAGTTAGTGACAACTTGAGCCCTGTTGTAATTGGAACTAAAATGGTTGAGAGGGTGATAAACATGCGGAAACTGGCACCACCCAAGCAAGATGATAAACATTCTCCTCATGGTAACATGTCTGGGAAGTCTGCATCACCAGATAGTTCTGGCTTCGGAAGAACACTTTCAAAGAAATCACTGGATATGGCTATAAGGCATATGGTAAGTATCTCCTAAAATTTTCTGTGGCATTATCTTTTATATTACTTAATTTAGGATCCGCAACACGAGAGTACAACAATGTAAATATGTTGTTGTCAAGATATCCCCATTCCTCTAGTTAATAGTCATATTTTTAGGTGGATGACATGGTTATCCCTCCTTTGTTCACGTCTGTCTCAACTTTTGGGTTATTATGGGCTGACGCACAAAGAAATTGAAGATTGGGAGACAAAATGAAGTTAATTCTTTCTCTGATTCGAATATTGTATTGAGCAGGATATAAGGCGAACCATTCCTGGTAATTTACGGCCATTGATGACGAATATTCCAGCATCATCAATGTACAGTGTGAGATCAGGTCCTACACGAAGCAGAAATATTAGTGTCTCGGATTCCCCTCTTGCTACGAGCAGTAATGGTAGTTCAGAGCTTAGTGTGAATAACAACTGCATATGTTTAGATGGGAACGAAGTAGAAGATGATAATGGCAGTGAGAGAGGTGGTCGATCTCCTGCAAGTATGCATGCGAGATGATGTTCAGGGTTTACAACCATGAGATGTGTCCATATTTTTTAAATTCTAGGAGATTTGACATTTGGAAGAGAAGCAATTTCCAGGAGGAACTATGTCGGAATCAGTGTTCGAATATCACCGTAAAGCTAACTAATTAGAATTGTTTACTGTTGTGTAATTCACGGAAGGTTGTATTGGTAGGGAAACCCAAGTAGATGGTAATCATCATTCTTCAAATTCTACAGGGTGAGTTGTTGTGAACTAGCTTTGAAATGATGAAGGCTTGTTAACTGAAAGCTAGAGATCAACTTATCTCCCTTTACTGTTCCCAATTGTATTATTGGAATGGTTGTTTTTTTTTTTTTTTTGAGATAAAATTGAATCTCATAAAAGTAGCAGATACCCGCCACTTTCATCTCCTTTTCAGCCAATGTCAAAGTTCTTTTATTTATTTTTTATGTTTGAGATTGATCAGGGGTTGAATGTTATATTTTTCATTTTGTTATTAGTGGTAAGCAGTTAAATTATACTATAAGATCAAACAATAAAACAAAACACTTGGATTTGATTTATAAATGATATAATAACACAAGATGAGTTTAGATTTGCATGTGTTATAAAATTCAATGGTGAATAACACTAATTTTTTTTTTAGGTTAAAAAATGGATTCTATCATAGTTTTGATTTAAAAAATTTTTTTTAACAAAAAATTGTAATATAAGAATAAAAAAAAATACAGATACTATGATTTTTTAAAAAATAACTCTCGAATTCTTATTTGAATTTTTTTTAATAATCTATTTTGTGAAATGAAAGGCCAAAAATATTAACCCTTACGTATATATTATCCAAAAGACAAAATCTTCTTGGGCAAGGTTGACAACGCCATTAAGGGGGAACATTTTTGGGTCTCATTTGGGTTTAATTGGGCTGAAAATAGACCCATAAACAAGCCTTTGGCAGGCTTATAACATATAATGTATTAATAAATTTTTGAAGGGAAGAAATAGCTTGCTTAATGTAATTTTGTTCTATCCTTTTTCCCTTTTCTATGAGTTTGACCGAGGAAGACTTCTGAGAAAGTGCAGATTTGCAGTATGACATTGACCTTAGGTTAATGAAATTTTTTATTTTTAATACCCTCTAAAGTTGACCACATTTGCATTAACATGAGGATTGTGATAATCAATTAGGTAAAATTAACAACATTTGAAATCAGAATAGAAAATCATTGTTATGTTTCTTTTCTAAATTATGGGTCAAATCTTCTAACTTTGTTTGATCCTTTTTTTTTAAATGAATAAGATACACAATAAAATGTCATACTTGTTTTGTTTCCACCTTCCAAATTGAATTTATATATATTTCTAAAGGTTGAATGAAGTTCAAGTTCTATTTTAGAATCATAGTTTGAGCTCCAAAAATGGGGTGTGAACAGCAAACAGGTTTACTTAATGAGCAAGCCTAGAAATTGCCGGCAATTTGATGGAGAATTAGGTAATGCAAGAAACGGCAACCATTTTGCAATTATTTTAACTTCTTTTTCATCAGAGAAAGTGTGAAGATGCAATCAGGCTCCACTCTGAAAGTCCAAACAATTTTTTTATATATATCAGAAATCTAAAAAATTTCCTGTGACATTTTTTTATGCCTGATCTATCAGATTTAGGTTTACATTACAGTTAATCAGCAATGCACTCTGAAGTTCTTATAAATGTGAATGTGCATATCAGATGGGCAATTACATCAGGACTCACATCACCATTAGTTGTGTGTGGGAGAAAGTATTGTCCTGATACTTAGTTGACCTTGTAAAATAAGAAACCTGTCCTGTATTGTACAAAATCCTACAAGCTAACTCCACCAGTTATCAATTACAATCAAAAAAAGGTTTCTCCTAATAAATTGCCTAATCCCTCATGGATTCTGTAATGCCTTGGCTGTGTTATGTCATACGAGCTGTTGTTTTCCTCTCCTACTTTAGTCTGCAGAGTCTTAATATTTGTTGTGTAAAGGCAGATGTACTTGGCAGGAATGAGACAGATAGAATGGACTTGATTGAGTTTAAGTCCGAGATCACTAGTGATCCTCTGGGAGTTTTAAGCTCCTGGAATGAATCCATACACTTTTGCCAATGGTATGGTGTTAAATGAAGTCGCCGGCATCAGAGAGTAACCATATTGGACTTGCATTCTTTAAAACTTGCGGGTTCAATCTCTCCACATATTGGAAACTTGAGCTTTCTGAGGGAATTGCATCTCCAAGAAAATAGTTTTACTCAGGAAATTCCTCCAGAAATAGGAGGTTTACGACGATTGCAAACGATGAATCTCTATAACAACTCTATTGGTGGGGAAATTCCAGCCAACCTATCAGGTTGCTCAAACGTTGTTCTTGTCAGTCTTGGGTTTAACTGGCTGATGGGAGAAATTCCTACAGAACTAGGTTCCTTGTCAAAGCATGAATTTATTTCCTTAAGTGGCAACAATCTAACTGGAAGCATCCCTTCTTCCTTTGGCAACTTATCATCCCTGGATACACTTTCTTTATCCAGGAACAATTTGGATGGAACAATCCCTGATGCTTTGGGCCAGCTAAGGAATCTCACATTTCTGGCTTTGGGTGGAAATATGTTGTCTGGTATGGTCCCCTTGTCAATTTTCAATCTCTTCTCCATTACAACTTTTGATGTGGGAAATAACCAAATATATGGTAGCATTCCCTCTGATATAGGCTTCACTCTTTCGAACCTTAGAGACTTTGGCATTGGCTTTAATCAAATCACTGGACACATTCCTACTTCAATATCAAATGCTTCTAATCTTGTAGAATTTCGAGCCGCAGAAAACAGACTCAGCGGAGGAGTCCCTTCTTTGCACAAGCTGCATAAGCTTTCATGGTTCATCATCACGGGTAACGGTCTCGGAAGTGAAGGAAATGATGACTTAAATTTTCTGTCCTCTTTCACCAATGCCACCAAATTAGAGTTGCTGTTTATAAATGGCAACAACTTTGGAGGGGTATTACCTGAATATGTAAGCAACTTCTCAACCACTCTGGTTATGCTGCTTCTTGACAACAATCAAATATCTGGAAAGATACCAAGAGGGATAGGGAAGTTTATCAATTTGCAGAGGCTAGATATGTGGAACAACCACTTCACTGGTACCATTCCCACTGATATAGGAAAGCTCCAGAATCTGGGGATATTATATTTGGATGGAAACAGCTTGTCAGGTAACATTCCAACCACTATTGGAAATTTAAAGCTGCTTAATCAGTTAGATTTAAGTGACAATTTTCTTCAGGGAATCATCTCTTCAAGCTTAGGAGAATGTGTAAGTTTGACAGCAGTAGATCTTTCTAATAACAATCTTAGTGGTACTATACCCCCACAAAATTTTGATCTCCCATCCTTATCAATTTATCTTGACTTGTCTCGAAATCATTTTACCGGTGTGCTTCCTGTAGAAACGGGAAACTTAAAAAATCTAGGTGGATTAGATGTTTCCATAAACATGTTATCAGGTGAAATCCCTGGTACTATTGGTAGTTGCATAAAAATGGAGCTTCTTGGCATGCGAGGGAACTTCTTTCAAGGGTCTATTCCATCATCTATGAGAGCACTGAGAGGTCTTAGAGCCTTAGATTTGTCTCAGAACAATTTATCAGGTGAAATTCCTGAATTTCTGGCAGATTTTGATTTGCTAGAGAGTTTGAATGTATCTTACAACAATTTTGAAGGCATGGTACCAAAAGGAGGAGTTTTTGACAATGCAAGTGCTACTCTGGTAGTGGGAAACAGTAAAATTTGTGGTGGCATACCAGAACTTAAGTTGCCCCTATGCAGCTTTAAAGAATCCAAGAAAAAGAGATTGAGTCTTGCATTGAAATTAATAAGTTCCATTGTTTCTGGGCTTGTAGGGGTTACTTTGGTGCTTGCTCTTCTGTTTCTTTGTTGTATTAAAAGAAAACGAGAGGAGACTGATTCAAGCATTCCAAAAGATTCATTTCTGAAAGTATCTTATCAGAGTCTTCACAAAGCTACTGATGGATTCTCCTCTTCTAATATAATTGAGGTTGGTAGTTTTGGGACTGTGTATAAAGGACTTATTGATCAAGGTAGAAGCATTTTTGCTATTAAAGTGCTTGACCTTCAGAATCATGGAGCTTCCAAGAGTTTTGTTGCCGAGTGCAAGGCCTTTCAGAACATCAGACATAGGAATCTTGTCAAGATCCTGACTGTATGTTCAGGAATTGATTACAAGGGTAATGACTTCAAGGCTCTAGTTTATGAATTCATGAATAATGGGAGCTTAGATAAATGGCTACATCTAGTTTTTAGTATTGATTTGACAGATGAGCAGCCAAGGACTTTAAATCTTTTTCAGAGGCTAAACATTGCCATTGATGTTGCAGCTGCACTGGATTATCTTCATCATCATTCACAACCATTGATAGTTCACTGTGACCTGAAACCAAGTAATGTCCTTGTTGATGATAACATGACTGCACATGTTGGTGACTTTGGCTTAGCACGATTTCTTCAGGAAAAAGTCCACAAGCAAACAAGCTTTACTGGACTAAGAGGAACTGTTGGCTATGCTGCTCCAGGTAACAGCATTCCTATATCCTCTGTTAGTTCCTTGTTTATTCATTTTTTCTTTACAAACTCTGATGTTTGAAATGCAGAATATGGTATGGGAAGTGAGGTATCAACTTTTGGTGATGTCTATAGTTTTGGAATCCTTTTGTTGAAAATGTTCACTGGAAAGAAACCTACTGATGAAATGTTCAATGACAGTTTGAACATTCAAAATTTTGCTAAGACAGCTTTACAAAAACAAGTGATGGACATTGCAGATCCCACTCTTTTCCAAGAAACAGAAGACCAGTTCCCCTCTTAAAGCCAAATACCGGATACTATAATCGCAGAATGCTTGACTATAGTATTTGAAATGGGAGTTGCTTGTTCTATTGAAACACCCAGAGACCGATTGACCATTAGGGAAGTTATAGTTGAATTGTCCTCAGTCAGAGACAAACTCCTTGGGGTTGATAAAACTGTAAGAGAAAATAGAATATCATGTGATAGAAGATAGAAACTTCATGCTTGGCGATAGAAGTTAGAAACTTCAAGCTTCTATACTTTATTTTTTGTTCTTTTAATAAATGAATGCTTGTGTGCTTGATTCATCCAAAAGATTTAGCAAAGTTCCTTTCATTCATAACAATGTTTAACTTTGTCCTTGTAATTGAACTACAACAAGAAGAATAATTTCAGTCCTAATTTCTCAAGAAATAGGCCACTTACCTATCCTGAAAATAGAACATTACTTCTATATTTATACCATTATTTTTGGGAAATTTTATCCAATAATTAGCCAATATATCAGGT